TCTGTACCGATTTTTCATCTCGAAACCGGCAAAAGCTACAGGGCTGAAACTTTGGGGACATAATCTGCATGCACTATGGATTCTCATCCCCGAAATGGGCGGTCTTACCCGCGTGGTACCCACGTAAGAGCCCGCCAAAATTTTTCTCGGTTAAGTTGATAACTCGCGAACCAGAAAAGCTAGAAGGCTGAAGTTTTAAGGGGATGTTCCCCATTCAAGTAGGTATTAATGAGCTGAAACCCAGCCCCCGGACAACCGTCGTACTCGCGTACGGGCCCGCCAAAATTTTTCCGGGGTAAGTTCATAACTCGGAGATCTGAGATGCTAGAAGGCTGAAATTTTAAGGGGATGTTCCCCGTCCAAGTAGGTATTAATGAGCTAAAACCCAGCCCCCGGGTAAATGTGGTACCCGCATACGGGCCTGCCAAAATTTTTCCGAGCAAGTTGATAACTCGAGTACCTGAGAAACTGAAGGACTGTAATTTTAAGAGAATATATCCCATCCACTTAACTTTCATTCAGCTCAAACCCAACTTTCGGGTATGCGTGGCAAGCACGCATGGGCTCGTAAAAATTTTTTCCAGTAAGGTGCTTACTCAGGAGCCAGGAAAGCTAGGAAATTGAAATTTTAAGTGGATTTTTCCTGGCATTTCTGACGTGGTTAGCTAAAGCATTTGCCGAAAAAGCCGGTGCCGGTAGCAACAAAAACTGCGGGGAACTATGCAAAAAAATGCAACTTCGCACGGGAGCCCGTACGTTGGCCAGTTATTATGTTTTAGACGAGTTAAAAGTGCGGAAAATTTACGATAAATTGAAACGATAAGCATTGAACATGACGCAACAATGATGGCGAAGTCATCTTCGTCACTGAGTGCTAAGTATACCAGTGATGCAATATAAGCTGATTGCTTTTTTGGAGTGCATTAAGGAAACAGTTTTTCTTTTCGAACAGTAATTGCTTTGTCGCCAGTTCCTCGTTGCAAATAGAACTTGAGCGAAGGGACTGCTAGTAACAGTATCTCTCTGTCAGAAGTACCTCATGCTGGAAGGGACAATTAATCTCAGAGTGTCAGTTCTAGAATAATTTTTTGCAGGTAGATGTGTTGCTTACGACTTACAATATGGTGGGTTCGAAAGCAGAAGATCGAAAGTTTTTTAAACGCTTTCGGATAAATTATGTTATATATGATGAAGGCCATTTGTTGAAGAATTGTAGTACCGATCGGTACAAAAATCTCATGAAAGTTTATGTGAGTTCTCTCAAAAATTGTTTTCTTTAATATTATTTACTTTATTTCACCCATGGTGGCGTGCCTCCTGTCGTTAACGCGTCTGGACACCTCACAGTTTCGCGTTACGTGGTGAGAAGCCTGCTAATTGTTTTGATGCTAATCATTATCTAATTTTTAGGGTGAAAGGAAAATTTTACTAACGGGTACACCTCTGCAAAACAACCTCGTCGAACTCATCTCGCTAATGTATTTCACAATGACCGAACTTTTCACGAAGTATTGCGACGATATTGGACAGCTTTTGCAACAGTTTCAGCAGGTTCGTTTTTATTTGTTTTTGCTTCTACGATGGATTATAAAAAGATATTTTGTCGAGAGATTGCCTGCGTTCGTGTAACAAATCTACAAAATCTGCCAACTTGGTCAACAGCTACCGTCCGAGCTCTTAGATGTAAAATGAGCGGTTTATTTCCTCTTACGTGGAAAGACGTCAAGAATTTTTTTTGGGCAGAAAATTTTCAAAAACTTTCATATTAGAAAGCTAAAATTTTATCGGAATGTTCTGTATCATTGTGCGGCCCGAAAAATTCTAATTCTGCTTCCTTTCGCATCTTTCCGTAGCTTTGTGCTTCTTGGTAGCCAGTGTGTAAAAAATGTATCAAAGTCCAAATCTAAGACGTTGCTGGCACGATGCCAACTCGGAAATCAAGCTGTGTGGCATGCTATAAGTTTATGAGATGTTTGCTCTTCATGAACAAATTCGTAAACATGCATTGAGGCTTCGCGTACGCCTGTGCCTCGCGTTCTGACGCATCAAAGTTTAACTTGCAAAACTGCTGGCATCTTCCTTTCGTGAGATCGGGCCAAAAACTAATTTTATAGCCTATGTGTCCGAGTGCGGCAGCTTCCGCGTGCGTACATGTCACAGATTGGTCCGGTGACTTTGTTCCTCAATCTCCTGCCAATCGATATGCGGAGTGAAATGAGTGGTAGCTACGTCTGTCTAGCAGTCTACGTTTGCTTCTTTTACAGTTGCCACATATTTTCGGTCAATCCATCTGCAGGTCGTAGAACAACATTCAGCTCTATGCGCTATTGAATGTCTTTTCATAATCGGCGAATAGGAGAGAGAGGGTATTAGTACCCTCTTTCACGTTTCAGCATTTGGTTCAGATCGAAAATGTGGTCCGTCGTGTTGTAATCACTTTGGAATCTAGCTTGCTCCCTCTACTGCTATTCATCGAGGAGTCTTGTTAGTCGACAGTGGAACAGTATGTAAATATGGGCGACTATACAGATCGGGCAGTAATTCTCCAGATCTTTATCATCCTTTTTGTGCACCGAAACCGTTTTTGATTCTTTTCAACTGCTAAGTGTTCTTCTTTCGGCCCAATGTTAACTGAACCGAATGCCGCTTGTCACAAACAAATTTGTGTGGAATTTTCAATAAATGTTCTCCACGTCTGTTTGATTCGTTATCCGACATCCAATTTCCATTCATTTATATTCCCACTGTGGAATGGTGTAGTAACAGTTCAGCATTTCTTCGGGCTCTGCTTTTTTTGAACCGTCTCTGTCTTCCGTTGACGACTGTTATCATCAAGATGTTCTTTCAACTCCGCCTAATGCGGCTGCAGAGTGGAAAATACTCCACATTTTGAGTTTTTTTAACAGCAATTTTATAGCTGCAGAGATCCTCGAATGTGGCCATAGTGGCGAGCAAATCCGGCTCATTTTGCACACTCAAGAAGTTTATCAGCAAGGCACTTGTAGTTTTGATTAGTATTTGCCGTCATGGTCGAGTCGCTGTTCCTCCCTCTCCCTTGTTACTTCATCTCCTCATCATCGATTTTTCTACGCTTGTTGCGCTTCTTTCATGAGCCGGGATGATATGTATTTTAGGCTGCAGCATGCTTGGTCGCTTCCCATATCGAAGGAGGGTATCCCGCGAAATCACAATCCAAGTACCTCGTCGAAGTGTGAGGGTGGCAACTGCGCATAGTCCTTTTTTTTAAAAATTGTATCGTTGCAGAAGATACCAGCTCTGGAAGCAAAAAGTGGCGCGTTGTATGAAGCTGATAAAATCGAGCAAGCAAAGGCTATCTTGCGGCCATACATTTTGAGAAGGCTGAAGCAAGATGTATGTTTGCTGATAATTTGTTCTTTTGTTTAAAAAATTTATTGAGCAGAGCTCATTTTTTCAGTCTGGCGAAAGACTTTCCCACATTATTCAGAATGTCTTTGGATTCTGGGGTTTTAAAAAATCATTACAGGTTTTAAGTTGTTTGCCGAAAAAACACGATACCGTGGTCAGATGTGCAATGATTCCGGAACAGAAAGAGATCTATGTGGATTTAGTTCGTGAGTTCCGTGAATTGGAACTGAATGGCGAGAAGTACACCTCAAGTCGTCTCATGCAGCTGCGGCAGATAGCAAATCATCCTCTGCTCTATAGGCGCTTCTATCAAGATGAGAAAGTTATTCAAATCGCCAAAGTTTTATGCGCAAAGGTATAGATTTCTCCTATTTGTACTGCACATGTTGCGACTTTTAGAATGGAAGCTGGTAGCAATCTTTAATGGTCGTTCCTAGACGCGTTTGTCCATTAATTTCGTTCGGTGAATGTGAAATTTGAATTGACGCAATCCACTGTAAGTAAGACACATGACACTTGTGGTCCCTCTCATGCTGAACTGCGAAGCTGCACTCATAAGAAACTGTAATTCACACTACACAGCGAATGCAGGTGTGATCAAGAACAGTTATGATGTTCGAGCATTGTAAGGGATTTATAAAGCAGTGCAAAGAGGTTGCAGCTTCCAGGTCAACCCTGGAAGTGCAGACGGTGGGGTGCGTAAAAGCAAGAAAGGGTAATGAAGGTTGGGGGTAAGAGTGAGCTAAGACGTTTCGGTCCATTAAGTCATATACGTCTTAACTCCGCACTACTGGACCTCGTTGCTTATTTGCTTCGTTGGTTTTTTTTTTTCCGATTACCTTTACCAGTGTGGACGTACTCATTTTCAGGAAAATGAATATCGCAAGAAGAATTCTGACCACGTTGCCGAGGATCTTGCTTTCTTATCAGATTTTGCGATCAGCCAGTTATGCTCAAAATATACGTCCACACAAAAATTTTGCCTCGATGAAGCAGTGGCTGTTGATTCCGGAAAATTTAGAGAACTGGATAAGCTCCTACCTTCAATAAAAGATAAAGTAAGCACGAATTATAAGATGTAAAATGAAATAGTCGACGAACTGAGTTCTTATTACTCTGGGGTTGCTCAAGCCACTGTTAATTTGGCCGAATTTTTTCAGGGTGATAAAGTATTGATATTCAGCCAGTTCACGTCAATAATGGATATTCTGGAAGTGTACCTCAAGTTACGGAATTACAAATATTGTCGTCTAGATGGAGCTACTCCAGTTATGGAGAGGTGAGTGTGCAGTGGTCCTTTTACGTTCCACGTGATTCGCACAGTGGCATTTGTACGTTTTGATGGGCAGCGTATTCAGAAGAGTTCACTGTAGAGACATGCTTAAGCGACTCAGATTTAGACAGTTACAAAAACTCGGCTCGAATGATGATCTACAGTGCTTGGGCCTTTCAGCGTTTTGCTTTAACGTCTTTGTCAATACTATTTCGCGGCGCCGGTTGCTGGAACTTTGCCAGACGCGCTGGGTAGCGCTCCCAGTGTCTAGTGGCTGGATCGCATGGAAACGGGGGTGATGGGCGGGAGGATTGAACGTGGTTGAGGGTGTTGGTTGGTAGTTGCCCAAATGAAGCTCAGAGGGCACAACTGAAGCCAGGATAGTGGGGAGGAAAGAAGTTGCTGGTTAGGAATTCAGGACAATAAATGGTGACGGTGGTTGGAGGTGATGGGTATCCCGATGCAGCTCTGGAGACAGGGATTGGGGCCAGGATACAGGAGGGAAAGAAGGGTGCTAATCAGGAGTTCGAAGCAAGAATTGCAGTTAGCAGTAAAGGGGAAAATAAACCAACGAGATACTACAAGGAAAAGTAAATTAAAACAAACCTGAATTTGTGAATGAAAGGAAAAAAAAGCAAAATCAAAGAATTAAACTTGTAACTAAAAAAAATCAAAAGCAAGCAAAAACTGAGCTTATGCGAGTAAGATTTTTCTTACAAAAACGCTTCTTCAGTAAGCGGTCCTCGCATTTATGAGGTTTATGCATAGGTGAAGCTCAACAGGATTTACTGAAGTTTATGCTTAGGTGAAGCTGAAGGCAAATAAGTCCAACTGGAATATACAAGAATTGCAGACAATTCCACAGTGTTGCCTCTTACAGCCTGCAACTGTGCACAACAGTTATACCTTTGTTTTCTTGTCTTCAAAATCTCACAAGAGCAAAGGCTGGCTTCATCCCCAGACATCCATTCTACCCTGTTTTTACCCGCTTCATTGAACTTGTTCGCTCCCAGCTTTCTTTAAGCATCAGTTCCATACATAAGAAAGTCTGATGACGGGTTTTTGAGGAACCATTTTATCTAAGCATTAGCATTAGTTTCATAAATAGGGGAGACACCTACTGATGATGGGTTTTTATGGATCAGTTTCCACTAGCAAAACCTTAGTCTCTTTTGCTTTTATTCATAAAGTCGGATTTGCTTTAATTTATTTTATTTTTTTGCGCAGTGTTGTTTTTTTCTCTTTACTGCTAACTCCAGTTCTTGCCTCGAGTTTCTGACCTGCATCCTCGTTACCCTTCTCTACCCTGTGTCAAATCCTGCTAGCAAACAAGATATAGACTCCTCTTTATCCCTACTATAACATCACTGTTCAAGCAAACAGTACTTCACCTTTCCCTTCCCCAGGTATTTACGATAAAAACCAGAAGCACACGTCCTCATCCTTTCCGTTTTTCACCGCTCCCCTCTCCCCTCCAAATGTACGTTACTTAGTCAGTCGGCAAAGGATCTATGCCATTTAGTCCTTATATCCACCTACCC